CCGGAATGTTTCGAAAACTTTGTGGACGCACAGACAATATTACTGCAGTCTAATTAATTTAAGATAAAATGCAGGAACTTTCAAGGAGCTCCGAGGAGATATAAGAGGTATTCCAAAAAATTCAGGAATGTTCTAAAAACTTTAGGAACATTGTAAGCTCTTCAGACGAGTTTTATGAATATCAGGGAAATTTTCGGAAAATTAGAAAATATTGGAACTTTGAATAAGTACTAAAAACTTCAATTAAATTCAGAAAAGATCAGGCAAATTAAGACATTTTGGGGGAAGTTCCAAAAAAAAAAACAAAGAAGTTTACCGTATAATTCAGGGAAGTCTAGATAACTTAGTGAAATTTGGAGATTTTTTGTGCAGTTCTAATATCATCAAGAAAGCTCTTAATATCAGGATGGTATAGAATTTTTGGAAAGTTTTAAGATGACGAAGAATTAGTTTAGATAATTTAAGAGCAGTTCCATTAACTTCAGGAAATTTTCGAGAATTTTTTTTTTCTTTGATTTGTTTTCCGTCGATCTTGTTTTCCGTACTGAGTACCAATGCTACCGACGCCAGGGAGGCAGCTCCCACACCTAGAACCTACCTATCGACCCATCAACTCATGAACCGGGGACCAAGGGCTTTACTTCCCTTCCGAAGGAAGACGTGATCAGAGATTTTGTGCCTCAAAAATCCCGGCGGCGCCGACTGGGATTGAACCCAGGCCTTTTGGGGTGAGAGGCAATCACGCTTACCACTACACCACCGGCGCCGCTAGAGAATTTCATTTAAATCTATGAACTTCATTAACTATTTTGTTCTTATTTCAAGAAAATAGTGGCATCCTTCGGAAAGTTCCGGAAATTTCAGGAAAGTCCAAATTACTCCAGGAAAGTTATGAATTTTCATGAAAACTTGAGAACTTCAAGAAAACTCCGGAAAGTTCATAGAAGTTCAGAAAACATTAGGAAATATTCGAAAAATTCAGGAAAACTCCAAGAACTGGAAAGTTTCATGAACATAAGGAAAATGCGGGAGGAAAATAGCGGAAAATTTTGAGAAGTTCCAAAATTTTTAAGAAATCCAGATAACTTCAGAGATGTGTAGAATTGTTCCGAAATATTTTGAAAACCTCACATAAGTTCAGGTATTTTCAAAAAAGTTAAGGGATTCTTAGGATAGTTCTATTAAATTTAGGGCTGTGCCAAAAAGTTCAGGAGAATTAGAAGAATTCAAGAGAAGTTTCGAGTACTTCAGGGAAGATCTTACTATCTGACATTAGAAAATAACAGTCACGTCACCCAGTATATTGATATCTGTTGGTGATTCATATTTTCGCTTGAATTAAAGACGTTTATTGCCTTATCCTCTCTAATGCAGCGAAGACTTCAGTTATTATCGCTTTTCAATTCTTATTTGTGAACGAAGACAGTGAAACAAGAATGGTGGGGAAGATCAGTGATTAAGGGTTTGGCTTATCAAGACAAGGGTCTGGGATAACTTTCAGAAAACGATTGCCAACTAAAGGAATTGATGTTATTTTACTAATGGCGCTCTTCCCGGTTAGTATTTTTAGGATTTATTGTAAACTAATTGCAAATAAGTTCTTCCAATACCCCAGCGTAATTCCACCTAAGGAATATTTGTATCAACAGCAATCATGGGTCTCTGTAAATGTGTTTACATAAAACAAAAATAGACAACTTATTTTAAAAAACATTAGCCTTGGAACATTTTACTTAAATCTACGGTGATCAGTGCTGTAAGCGGTCACCGTAGTCAACGCATCTTGTGTGTTAATTGGTTGCCTTTGCTTCCATTGAAGTGTTGGAAGCAAAGGCAGTCAATTAACCCGCAAAATGCGTCGACTATGGTGGATCACCATAGATTTGAGTAAAAATGTCAAGCTATCAAAGTATTAAACTAAAATGTCATAAGACAGTCTTTGTCACACGATACTGTCGCCGAAGACCGTGACGTATTTATTTATTTTATTTTGACGTATGACTACGTCTTTGATTTCTATATGGGGGTACACTTTGTGAAAACCGAAAATTGAACATGTAACAACATTATGAAAGATTTTGAACGTTAATAACTCAGCTGCCCCTGGATCAATTTCAATAATTTTATCACCAATCGATCAGATATATGTCTATGCATCTGTTAAATATAAAACTTTATCGTTTTTCAAAATGTCACTATTGAAAATTGCACGACTGTGCAACTGTTGCTATGCTACTTAAAATTATCATCGATTGCCTGCGAAAAGCGATTTCCCTAACACAGATTTCAAAACAGAATTCCATCCGGTCTCACCAAACGGAGTTTATTCAATCTCCGCGTGGTGAGTGGTGGTGTTGCCAGTACACAATGCAAGGCTCCCCCAAGCAGCTAGCTACCAAGGCTGGCCTCAACCGCTGATCGGATTCAGTTCCAATCACCGTGTTGGGTGGTGTCCGGTCGTCGGCATCAGCTGCAGCAGCAGCAGTGCTTTCGGCGCGTGGCGTTGAACATTGTTCTCCGGTACACAATAGAAGGCAGCGAGCTGCAACCCACATGAACATCCATAGAAGGAGGAAGCAGTCGCACCGCTATTGTAGCTTTTCGTGAGTCGCTACCATGTAGCATCTAACATACCATGTACTTTAAGGCAACATTGGAGGTGTGATTACAGAAACCAAAATCGATAGCGGCATAAAAGTGGCCTGATTTTGATCCAGAGATGATGAATTTTAATTCTTAATATGCCAATCGATATTATTTTTTTTCTACTAATCTGTTAAAATTAAGTTTATAATTTTCAATAATTTACTATGAAAATTAAAATTATCAACGATAGCCTCCAAAAAGCGATTTCCCTAACACAGATTTCAAAGTTGAATTCCATCCGGTCTGAGCAAACGGTGTTTATTCAATCACCGCGTGGTGAGTGGTGGTGTTCTCCAGTACACAAGCGAGCTTCAACCCGCATTAGCATTCATAGAAGGAGGAAGAGGCCGCACCGCTATTGATCGGAATCAGTAGCTCTGTGTGAGTTGCTGTGGGCCATCTATGTCAAGCGCGGCATACTAAAGAGTATACACAGAGAGAACCCCGCTCAAATTCCTATTCCTACACAAAACACAAGCTCCTGCTGTAGTTGACAAATAATATTTATTATATAAGAGTTCTACGTCACCATTGCGTACAACCCCATAGGGCTGTCCCTTGTAGTTTTTTTTTCTCATAATAAGAGCTTCTAATGTTGTGCTTGTGTCAATTCTAAAATTAGCAAGAAACGATGTCCTAGTAATAACATTTCTGATCAGAAAAGGTTTAGTTTACACAACATTTTGGAATTAGAACAACCCCTGCTCATGATATTCCAATATTCTTAGGATGGATTGCTGGATTGATATTGTAAAAGTTTTCATACAGCATATATTTGGAACAGTGAACATGGTTTTCTTTCGCAAATATATGAAATGAATTTTAAAAAATCAATTAATCAATTTCCAAAGGATTTCCCACGGAATCTTTTTCCTTAAATGTACTGAAGCAATATTTTCATAGATATTTAATCAACCAGAATTAATTGAATTACATTTTTGCTGTATTTTGTTTGAATCGGAGTTGGAGCCGGCTTCGGTCGATTTAACATTTTCAAAAATAATAAAGTTAGTTTTTGAATTAAACTATTTTGAGGGCCACCCTAATGTTAACAACCACCAAAAGAAGGGATCTTTCAAGCTCAAAAATTTCACCAAACACACCAAACGTCTAAATATTACACACAGCAAAAAATAATTTTGGTATCACATCAAAGTGGATGCACTTCAATCGTGTCGAAAATACGGTGTTATTTTACTTGCCAAAAAGGACAAAATTATCATTAATACAGTGCATGAACTGACATTATGCTGCTTTTACTGCATTTGTTTATTTTTGTGGCCATAAAAATTATATGAGATTTTCGACATGATTGTTGTGCATCCTCTTGGATGTAATATTAAAATTTATTTTTTGCTGTGCAGCAAAAGCTCTAGGACTAAATTCCCATGTTGGACCACTGTATTGTTAAAAATGTGAGGTTAAATCAACACCAACATTTCAAGTAGAACAACGCTGGGGCTTCTTTTCAATGTTGGCAGTGTTATTCTTCGCCATCGGCTGGTAGCAAGCTAAGAGAAGAGGAGACAATACGGGGGTGAAAACGAACCACCTTTTTGTCAAACGCGGACCGAACGTGATTGGCCGATTTGAAGTGCGTAAGATAGAGATAGAGATAGATATAGTTGGAGATAGAGATAGAGATACAAGATTAAGAAGTCAGTTGTCTCCTCTTCCTCTTAGGTAGCAAGCGCTGCCAAACAGTATTAGGCATAAAGCTCAATCGTGACTCTTCGATTGTTTGTTTGAAAAACTGTGGCCTCCATTATCACTACATCTCACCATCAATAGAATGATTTGAGATAAGCTTGAATATTTTTTTCATATTGATGGACTGCAATATCTTTATTCGTTTCGTCACACCGGTAGAGTAAAAAATTGGTTCGATTTTGGGGTCCGTCTTCGCATCACCCAGGACAAAATCACCCGCTAAAAAACAAACTCATTAGAGGAATTATTTGTCTACCTAATGATGTTATTAATTAGCGTGGACGAAATTTTATTCGTACAATATCAACGATTGAAGTCGTTGCTTAGAAAAACTTTCCGCTTTTTATTTTAAGAGGGGTTCCGATTTTTTTGCGTGCGATGCTCCATAACATTTGATAGCATGATTTCAGAAATGAAAAAAAATATCTTTCAAATAGCAAATCGCTGAAACAGTTGGAAGCTGTATAGTATATGTTTTAGTTTTATTGACATCAATTCTAGCAAGTCCGTAATTTTGTTGCATGCCAGCTGAGGATTTTCAACCATATCAAATGCGGATTTATTGCGTATGGTTGCAAGGATTTATCAAACATATCATTTACATGTAGATTAGTATGTCCATCGAACTGTCTATTCAAACTCACCTTATCCTGCGACGTTGGGAAGAAGTTGATTCCCTTCGGCACCATCAGAGCCATCCGAGCAGAACTAACGTTTCGGACAGTTTGCAGGAACACATGCCATGTGCGATCGTCTTCACTCTGGCGCCAACCGTACGGCCAGCCAAGGATCACGGTGTTCGGTTTCATGCCACCGAGGCCAATCGTTTGGACGCTGTCGTTGTTATAGACAAGAATATTCATACCGTTAGATAAAAGCAAAATTCCCATCTTCCGCAAGATTAACCGAACTTACACATGCGATAGGCCATCGGCCACGTTGGACGCCACCATCACATCGCAGAATCCTTTAACCTTTTCATCTTCCATCAGCTTCCGGAGGCTCTGCTTGGCAGCTGCGGCCTCGCCGGCTCGTTTCGTGAAATCACCCTGCATTAGCGAAACGACCACCACCAGACCTTTGCCGGCTTTGAGCTGCGACACCAACGAGAACAGCTTGCGATACTTGGGCGTGAAATCGTCGTTCATCTTGGCCAGCATGAGGATCTGCGGTCGCCAGTTCTTGGTGTGCGGTGGGCCTTCCTCTAGCCGGAGCAGCGAATAGCGGGCGGCCGATAGTGCAATACCACGGATGCCATCACCCCATTCCTTCTCCGCTCTGGCGATGGCGGAATTGTCGTTGTTGTTGGCATTGTGGATGGGAAAATAGATACAGAAAGTGAGAGATACAAAGGGACATCGGATTACCAGGTGTGCATTTCAGATTGATGGTATCAGTTTCCCTTGTTAATCACGGGGCATCAATTGCATCCATTGTGCTGCTGGATGCAATTGAGGCGTTAACCATAGGGATTTGTACCGGATTGTGTTAGTAAAGCACAGTTACAAGGAGTGAATGACGTGCTGTCAAGTGTGTTGTACGTACAACAGCGGATATTAAAATTCTTGGATATCGGTACTTACCCTCGGTATTCAATGTACTTGTAAATCAGTACCGCCATTCCCATTGCAATCAGAGCAAAGTACCACGATGTCATGAACATAATCGACATGCACAGCGTTAGACCGATCAATGATAGTGACCTATTGTTGCAGCAAACGTCATCATCGTCATCGGTGTCAGGCGTTGCAGTTGGTTTGGCCATTGTGAAATATTGTGCACGATTGAGTTTCACAACGGCAACAGCGGAAACCGATATTGTTGTCCGGAACAGGCACGGATATGGAAACGGAAAAGAAGAACAAAGCGATGAAGAAAGTGGTGTATTAATTGTTGCGCGGGCAAGCGATTGATATTTATCTGGGATAGACGTGTCACAGAGCGTGAGGTGGAAAACCATCAGCAACCACCCGGCAGTGGGTCGGACAGGCACGTGACTCACATCGCCGTGATTGTGTCCAATGTCACTCCGGTGGTACAAGTTATGTCGTGCCATGGATAGGGCAGCTGGGGGTAAAATGAACACTTGACTTTTTAAACGGTGAAATCATCAACATTCTCTAAATGTAAACAATTGAAAGGGTAGAAGACTCATCTGTTCAATTGCATGTGTGCTGAATTGGTTGATATTTTGATAAATATGCCGTGTAAAAACGTGTTAATTTCCCCTGGTATGTTCATTTTACCGCCACTTCCCCTACAATTAAAAAGCGATCTAGAATGACTTTCCGAAACGACCTGGCGCGTTTTATAAAAATAGATTGCTTTTTTTTCGCTACATAGTGTTTGAGGTTTTTTTTTCAAGGAATGGAAACTAAATGGAAACAAAGACCGCACACCTAAAGGGTGATGCATATATTATGTCACACTCTAAAGGGCCACCCAGATTAGATCCGTTTGCATTGCGTAAAAGTAAATTTGACAGTTAGACAATAGATTTTGTTATCACTTGGCCGCAATGCACAGTGGTCCAGAATGTAGATTTAGGTGGAATGATATGTTTTGAGCCTGAAATTGAAACTTTAGACTAAAAGTCTCTTCAACAAAGTTGTTCCTTATAGTTACGCCCTCATTTTTATGACAATAAATTCTAGGGTGGTTCCTATTATCATTAAAATGAAAAATCTAACTTTTTTGCTTGTATAAATTAAGGTATGCATTCTTGGGCAAAGTTATAGCTGAGGTAATTTCAAGCAACTTTGTTCAAAGTAGCTTTTTTGTATCTCTTAAATTGGCCGATTTAGAGCTATTTTCTTAAATTGAGTTAGGGTGGCTCTTAAAAAACAGTTTTTTTGCTCTTTTAGATCTTAAGAAGGCGCACATTTTTGCAGCACAAAGCTTGTCAATATCTTTCGCCGATCAAGAGTTATTGAGGTTTTTATACTAAAAATATGCACTCTTCAAATGTTAATATCTCTGGTTGGGGCAAACAAAAAAAAATTTTTTTACGGCATTTGAAAGGGCGTATGTTATTCTCAATAATATGAAAATATTGAGGTTTGTTATTTTTTAAACTTGTATAAAATCAATTTGAATTTATTCATATTTTTTACTATATTTGAGTATATCTTTTTTATTAGAAGAGATACAGGCAACAAATTCTGCTGTAAAACATTCATCTTAAAGAGTTTTAAAAGTCTCTGGAAGATGACTTTCATGATAAATTTCAAATAAAAAAGTAGCCCTTTCAAATGCCGTAAAAAAACTTTTTTTTTGTTTGTCCCAACCAGAGATATTAACATTTGAAAATTGCATATTTTTAGTATAAAAACGTCAATAACTCTTGATCGGCGAAAGATATTGACAAACTTTGAGCTGCAAAAATTTGCGCCTTCTTAAGATCTAAAAGTTATCTCAAAACACCTTTGCTGAAAAATTCGAAGTAAGAAAACTAGAGCAAAAAAACTGTTTTTTAAGGGCCACCCTAACTCAATTCAAGAAAATAGCTCTTAATCGGCAAATTTAAGAGATACAAAAAAGTTATTTTCAACAAAGTTGCTTGAAATTAGCTCAGCTATAACTTTACCGAAAAATGTATACCTTAATTTATGCAAACAAAAAAGTTAGATTTTTTATTTTAATGATAATAGGAACCACCCTAGAATTCATTGTTATAAAAATGAGGGCGTAACTATAAGGAACAACTGTGTAGAAGAGACTGTTAGTCTAAAGTTTTAATTTCAGGCTCAAAATATATCATGCCACCTAAATCTGCATTCTGGACCACTGTGCAATGCATCAGATCCGGATCTAATGTGGGTGGGCCTCAGAAGGAGGAAGAAGGAGGATGCTAGAATTTGTGACATGTAATGCATTAGGTATAGGAAAAACGAGACGAAACTTCCCCCTTTTAATTAATTTAATTCAAGGATTAATTGTTTCTCAGTTTAGCGTGAAATAATCAATGTTTGACCCTTTTAACACATGGTTCTCTTGTAGTCATTAAATTTTCCCAACGAAGATATGCAATCCTCTTAATCCTCTTTTAATAGAAAATTAAAACACAAGCAGCTTCAATTCTGAATTTTCGCGATAATACCAAAATAGAACCATAAACCGAAAATGGAACCGCCGTGTTTTGTATTGAATTCTACCAGTAGCATGTCAAATTGTATTGGCACTATATTGTCTATTTTTTTCTTCGAAAATTCGGCTAAATTTATTGCCTCACATATCGGTTGCTTCGATTCCAATAACGATAGACTCAAAGTGGAAGCGTAGGTTGAGAATCAATTTCGTAACTCAACTAATACCTGTAGGGAAAAAAAGTGTTTAACCAACAGCCTGCTATACTCACCAATGGTAGAACTTGAAGCGCGGCCGCCAGTTGGGCGTTCGTAGCAGCGTCTGGACGGCACAGGCCAGATTCACAAAGCCGTAGCACATCAGGAAGAACATGGACAGCAGCGGAGCCAACAGATCGACATTGCCGAGCAGGATGCCACTCAGGCAGATAAACATGGTCAAGATGAGGGCACGGGTCGGTTCACCGCGGCTCGATGATACGGCAAATGGTTCTAGGAACGGAATGATACCGTCCCGGGCGATAGCCTGCAGCAATCGAGGGGCACCGGTTAAACTTTGCAGCCCAGCACCGAGGGTGGACAGGAACGATCCAATCAGAATGACCCACTGGTTCGGCCAGGCCATGTTTGCTACCACCAGCTTGCCTCCTATCGATTGCCCGAATCTGGGTTGGGGGGTGCAGGGAGACAAAGCACAACATAAATTAGAATGCTTACTTAATGGAGACAAATGTAACTAGCACATAGGATTCGGTTGTGCGTAGCGATTAAACTCTACAGTTGGTAGTGTTTCGATTATGGTCATGGTTGGTGTGACACTCACTTATCACGCAGCAGCAAATTGTCGACCGTTCCGGCGAACAGCATCACACAGGACAGATAGACGGTCGAAGTGGTCAGGATGGCACAGATCGTACCGATGGGAATACTCTTTTGTGCGTCGGCCAAATCACCGGAACGATTGGAACCGGCCATGATACCTGGTTGGAAGAGGGAGAAATATTATCAAATGCATCCATTGGCAGCGTTTAAGGTATCTGTCCAAACAATGGTTTCTAGTTCGAACACACGATAGATTGAGTCAGTTTGCTTGTTTGTCGACTATTCAGGTCAGTTCGTTAGTCTTAAATATACAGAACATTGAGTGGGAAGTGTGGTCAAAAAGGCTATTGAACTTATCAGATCAACGTAACAAGGCATCGTAAAGCAAGGCTTACAAAGGGTGAACTGAAAAATATAATTTCAATTTACTCTTTTGAGTCTTTTGTTTTCACCATCGCTGGTTTTTGTTTCACATAATTTTCAATAGTGATTACTGATGGGAAAACATATGTTGTTCGTGATATGCACATTGTCATAGTTTGAAAATTTATCTAGGAGAGATCCCCTAGCACTAGCGTGCACAGGAATTTTGTTAAGGAGGGGCATTTTTTTTTTCTATGGTGCTTTTAATCTGGGGATGGGGAGTACTCAAAAGTGCGTTGGAGATGGTGTTGTCCACCCACCACTGTTGTCCTGCTGTTTAATTTAGCTAGTTTTAATTATTTTTTGCTCCGATGGTGGTTCATCATATTCAAGGCAAACTGCTTGCAGACAGCCAATGGAAATTAGCAATTTAATCCCATCGATAATTTCGATGATGAACCGTCCCAAAGTACCACCAGTACCGGTGACAGAAAATGATGCCGAAAATTCAACATGTTTTAAAGATGATATAAAGGACAAACCCGAATTTATTGCAACGCACATAAACAGCTGTAACAGCTCTTCTTGACTTTTAATCAGAACACCTTGGAACTGAAATTAACTTAGAGTTTCAGAAGAATTTTCTAAAAAAAATATTCCCGGAATGAGCTACAAATGATCGGTATTCCTTTGAAATTTTCCTCAAAATCCCTTTAGAATTTCACTAAAAATTTAATTTTCTCGGTATTCTTTTCGGAATTATTTTGGAACAAAGGATTCACTAGATTTACGCAGAATTTTCTTGAAATACTCCCCAGAAATCTATTGGAACTGTCCTCAGAATCTAATATCCTTGAAGTTCTTCTCGGATTTTTTTAGAACTCTCCTAAGAGCTCTTTTGAAATTCTTCTCAGAAGTCAACTGGAATTATATTTAGAACTCTTCATGATTTTTTCTCAGAACACCTTAGAACTGAATGAGCTAGAAATCATCCTCGGAATTCACTTGATATTTTGCTTAAAATCCCTTTGGAATTTCACTCAAAATTTGATTTTCTCGGTATTCTTTTTGAAATTATCTTGGAACTATCTGCAAGATGTACTAGAAATTATCCGCAGAATTTTCTTTAAATTCTCCCCAGAAATATTTTGAAACTGTCATATGAATTGAATATCCTTGAGGTTCTTCTCGGAATATTTAAGGACTTTTTTTTCTCACAACATCTTAGAACTGAAATTTCCCTAAAGTTTCAAAAGAATTTCCTCTGCATTCTCCAGAAATTCTTCCCAGAATGAGCTTGAAATTATCTTCGGAATTCCCATGCAATTTTTCTCAACATCCCTTTGGAATTTCATTCAAAATTTGATTCTCTCGGTATTCTTTTCGAAATTATCTTGGAACTATCTGCAAGATTCAAAAGAAATTATTCGCAGAATTTTCATGGAATCATCCCCAGAAATCTTTTCTTTTAGAACTATCCTCAGAATTCAATACCCTTGAGGTTCTCCTCGTAAGTCAAGTTTAAGTTGCCCGCCCATTCACCAAAACGTTGTAGTTTTTCTACCAGAAATGTTCACCAGAACTGTGTAATTTTTACATCGGGAATTTTCAATTCAGTTTACCTCTACATGCAGCAGATTGTTGCAAATCTTACACCAGAAGTTTTCGATACAAACTTGCCCCCATACATTTTTACACCAGAAAATTTAAATGGATCAGAACGATGGAAATTTTCCACCGTTAATATTCAATAAAAATTGCTTCTCCAATCTTCTGATTAGTGCAGATTTCCTTTTTCCATTTTACACCAGAAATTTTCATTATAGCTTGCTTCTCCTATCATCAGAATGTTTCAGGTTTTTCACCAAGTAAAGCTTTCCCCTGTTTTCAGATTTTTCATCATAAATTTTCAGTAAAGCAGCTTCCCTCCAATCATCAGAATGGTGCAAATTTTACACCAGAAATTGTTATTAAAGTTTGTTTCTCTATTCAGCATAAGGATGCAAATTTAAGACCAAAATTTTCCAAAAAGCTTGCCCTTTCCGTTCACCAGAACGGTGCAGATTTTCTACCAGAAATTTTCAATATAGCTTAATTTTAAATAAAGCTTGTGCCTTCATTTACCAGACCAGTGCTAGTTTTCCACCAGATTTCGTTCATTTTACTTACCAGAGCGATGAAAATTTTGCACCAAAAATTTTCAATAAAGCATGTTCCTCCATTCACCAGAAGAACGGTGCACCAAAAATTGACAGTGAAGTTTGTTTCACCATGTACCTTTGCGGTGCAATTTTCAGGTTTTGCCTCTTCATGCACCAGAATGCTGCAAATTTTCCACCATAAATTTTTAATGAGGCTTGCATTCATCAGAACGATGCAAATTATGCACCAGAAAAATGAATAAATCTCGCTTCTACATTCACCACAGTGTAGCGAACTTTCCACCAGAAATTTTCAGTTAAATGTACACCTCCAAATTTTTAGCGTGATTCAATTTTTCCAATTTTCATTTTGTTTAGTCCCTCCATGCACACTAGAGTGATGCAAAATTTGACTTTTTCGCTCCACAGTGCTTAAATGGTTTCAAATTGGGTCCTGATTAGCCTCCCAAAGTTACAACTCATTTGGTTAGAAACAGACTTCGCATAAGCCAATTGAAGTTTACATGTAAATTACTATGGGGAATCTCAACTTTTTGTTCATTGCCTTCTAGTCTTTTTCCATATTGAGCTGCGAAACAGTACGATAACCATTCTTATAGAAAATTTTCTCAGCTACAACTTTGCTCAAGATCGTTTCTATGTAAAATGAGACAGGAAAAAGTTATTAATTATTTAAGAGATTGGTAAACTTATGACATGATCAATCAGCTGCTCTGTAAGCAACACTGTATTTTGCAGTGTGACATAGTAGCCATGATTTGTGTGTCCTATTCAACGCCCCAGAAACACCAATGTTGCCTGCTGAGCAGTTGATTGAGCATGATCATAAGACATCAGCGCATTGAACCATTGATAACTTTCGATCCTTGCATTTAATCAAAAAGTGGTCTTGAGCAAAGTTGTAGCTGGGAAAATTTCCCTCAAGTACAGTTGAAAGCTTTTGAAGCAGACCGATATGGTGAATTATTAGATAGACATAAACAAAAATCTTGGTTTTACCATGGTAATTCCCATACAAACTTCAAATGGTTTGTGCCATCTCAGTCTCTCACCAAATGGGTTCAAATTTTGAGAGGTTAGTCAGGATCCGATTTGGAGTCGTTTAAGTATTGTGGAGCGAAAATTTCAAATTTTGCATCACTCTAATCCACACCCGTGATAATATTTTTACACCAGATATATTAAATAAAAGCTTTTTCTTCGATTTACCATTACTTTTGTGGTGCAATTTTCAGGCACCATCTCAAAGGAATTGACACAATAAAAGGTTTTCAGTACCCTTATATTATGAAATGAAGTTATTACCTTCAAATCAAGTTATCAAGAAATTAAGTTAATTTATATCATAGTTTTGTAAATCTGAAAAAAGTAATCTTATTTATAAAAGGGAGGGCAATTACCCCACCTTTCCCCACCCTGTGCACGCCAGTGTCCCCTAGATGAATTCATGCCCATTTCTTGAAAAAGACCGTAATTTCCAATAACGATTGACTGAATTTGTTTATATTAAAAAGGGATCATAAAAATTTGACTAAGATGGAGAACTGAACTATTTTTAGTAAATTTACATGTCTATGAAGATTTGTCTTTGAACTCTTGGATCGTAATAATAATACCCACAAGGTTTTAGATCCAATTATTTCTATCGTTTTTGTTATTTAAAAATTTATCAACTATTCAGAATAAAAATAAAACAATTTAAGAAAAAGTTATGGGTTGTGTCCGTAGCACGACTCCATTAATGACGTAGGATTGCGTGATTGTTGTAGTTGGTCAATTCAATAATCTTCAAAATCAATAAACATTAAAATAATTATTCAAAGTTTTGAAACTAGATGACATTAAACATCGTTAATTGAAGATTCAATAGTCAAAGTTCAAAATTCTGTTCCTATCCCATTCAAAATTAGGACCCCAACATGTATTATCCACTTTCGATTATAATAAAACAGCAAAATAGGTTATCTTCCATGAATGCAAGAATTCCACTTAATTAATTTTGGTATGCGTGACAGATACGTATTTCGACTGCAGTCTCCATCAGTGTCATTCCCACTTAAGACTAATCAAAATCTAACCACCTTAAGTTCTTATCCTCTAGGTAAAAATGCCAGGATTACAGGCTACCAAGCCTTTCTGGACTTTCCTAGTTATAGGAGTAGATTTTTCTCCTTTACTTTACTACAATCTTTGGTTAGTTAGATAGGTTCCGATTCTACACGTTGTAGTTTCATTTTTATACCTGTGATCTTAAAACAAACCCAACTTGATTACCTCTGATTACCTTGATCGCCTCTCTGTTCTCTTGATATTTAGTCATAGCAAGCAAGCACGTGATTGGTTGATTGCGGCTAAAAAAGTTTAGTAAGTTTTCAATAGTGTACTAATGATAAATTACTGCAATATTTATATTAATCAAATTTTATATCAATCCTGAATAAAATGGTGGGAAAAGATTTGAAATCCATTCTTATGGCCAAGTAATAAGCTTTTAAAACCTGACACTATTTCATCCCACAATTTTTCTGATTTGCACCCCAGTATATTCCACAAAGACGTAGTCCTACGTCAAACAAACAACTTATCAAAATAGTTTTTTTTTGACATAGGACTATGTATGTGATTTCTATATG